TTTGATTAAATATAGTAGTTCTTTCGTGTGTTTTCTGTAAATAAGTTATATTTTTGTTGATAAAATTTTGACTTTTTATAAAAGTTAACCAAATCCTTCGGATAAGATGTTTTTTCCGGATATTGACTAGTTGTGGAAGTCCTGTAAAGTTTACTCCTACTAGTCCCAAAAGGAGAAGGCTTGACAATGTGTGGAAAAATATATTGTATGTCAATGTTCAACCTCAGAGCAATTATTATGCATGCAAGCTGTCGGGGAAAAAAAGTACTTTTGATGTTTTGCAGAGATTTGGTGTGTGACAAGGTGATGCTACAACTAACTTCTCTTGATATTCTGCTTTTCTTGGACGAACGAGTTGTGAATCATCAGTGATGTTATAAGACTTACACCAGAAGGCAAAATTGTAGCGTCTTCAAATTAGAAACAACAGAAAGCCAAATATGTGATCAATCTGATCCACATGTATCCTCACAACCTGACACTTTCATACGATCTTGCGCTCAGTTTCCTCCATTCCCCCTTGTAGTTTGGATATGAAAACATGTTTTTTGTGTAAAACCAAAACCTTTGAAAAGGATAGAAAACTTCACAAAATTGAGTCGCCTGAACGTGTTGACAGTCTTTTGAGGTGTGCTAATGAGAGTAATCATTTATCCATGGTAAAGAATGGGAGTACAGATTTATTTTCAAAAGCAGTCTACCTGTCAGCATGCATTACCAAGTACTTATTGAAGTCAACACCTGTGAAATCAGGTAAAACAGTAACTGAAGAATTAGAAAATGAATTTGCTTTCAATTCATTGATAACGATTGTTAATGATGATATTTTCTTCCATAAATAGGCCTTTCTCATGTAGCACATCCTCGGCATATACCGATCACTTTTACCCAAGAATGTCTCTGACGATTACCCATCTGCCAAACTCCAGACCAAACTAACTAGTTGTTATGACACCTTACAATTCAGACACAGCAGGGACAAGGGATGTCAAATATAGAGTTCAGCTCTGAGCTCACTATAGGGGATACCATATCTGCTGCAGGAAAATTGAAGTCTATGTTAAGACTTTCAGAATTACACCCAGGTGTGTCTGAAGATATCAAGGATACATTAAAAGAAGAAGAATTGCTTCACTCTGCCGCAAGCGCTCTTAGAAGCTCTGTCTTCGTCGGGTGCTTTTATGGAAAAGATGCCCGCATCGCTTTTTTGAAAAATCACACAAAGGCGCTTCTGAACCGTGTGTTGTCTCTAAAGATAAAAAAGAATCGTAAATGTATGGCTATTACAAAATCAATCGTTTCTGTAGCAAATTCAACATTTCGCCCATTGCATTTGGGATTGGCCGTGCAGTTATATCATGACTATGGGAATATGGGTCACGAACATTGATAGAAACTTTGTACTCACATGGCTTTTGTGTTTCCTATGCAGCGGCAAGACTATACCCGACAAGCATTGCCATGCACGAGTTTGACCGAATCAAGACGGTATTTACTCTCCAGATGGCATTGTTTTAAAACACCAAGTGGGTGTTTGATATAAAAAGGTACCGACAATAAAGTCATCAACACGGAGACAATTAAAAGTGAGGAACGTTTCATTCCATGGCACAAGCAGACTTTCAGGTTTGTCAATCTACAATTGATTCCAGTTTGCATCAGATTAAAGTGAAAAGAGGTCAAGATAACACTTTTCAATTTACTGACAGTGCATCATCGTTGGCGGCTGTTTCATTATACTAAAGGTAAGAGAGGTCTTCCTCGCGTTCCGAATGTTTCAAATACATTTCAAATTGTGCTGAAAATATGGAAAACACATCAGATATTCCTTGGGTAATTTTGCGCTCCATGTTAAGATATATCGGAAATATTACTGTTAAGTCAGAAACGTTTGACCATCAAGTTATTTCATTTGAGACCAGATATAACAACGCTTTCTGACTTCAGGCTTGAATTTTCGGCCGGGAAGACAAAAATGAATAAACCCCCAACATTTTTCAAGGGACAAATGTCATCAGATTACTTACAAGATTGTATTGGTACCTGCAAAGGTAAATCTCTGTGCTTAAAAGCGGTGTTTGCTTTGAACAAACTCTGTCCTGCACCGAACTAGTTTGTGTCATGAACAGGAAGTGTGTTGTAGTGCAAATACGCATACCATGACGAAGAGATTGATCCATATCCCTCTATAATGAAGACTAGAGCTATTGTATGTAGCTTTTAAAAGACAAGTTATATAAGGGTCTTGACCGATTTTAAATTACAACATTAGCAAATTAGCATTAAATTGTATTTTTCATTACTTCCCTAAAAAAATGATGAGTCTACACTTATTTACCAGGATAATGCAACTAAGACAATGTTCATGCACCAAACTGAGTTTGTTTTACACTCAACCAACCGCTAAATCAATGCATGTCACACTTATGATTTTTTTTAACCTCGCATTCGCCTCGGTGTACTATGATTTTTTTTGTGTTATAACTGATGTGTCCGGACTTTGCAAATACACAATATTTATAACTAGATCCTAATTTTCCCAAAATACACATCATTTTAGATGCAAAATTAAAAACATTGTTTCAGCGCTTGAATTTTGTTTTTTTCAAAGATAGAAAAAATATTTAATAATTTGATAAACTGGTGTTTTATAGTTTAGAAAATAATTCTGTAATATACTGTAGTGAAAAACTATAAGAAATATGAAAGTTGATGGATGTAAAAAGGTCAAGGCCACTTCTACTTTTGCTATGTCATAAATGGAAAAAATCAGGAGGTTCCAGATTAACGCCATTTTGTAATAGCAGCTCTTCATATAAATAGTCAAATTTGTCGTTTTAACATCCTTTGCAGCATATGCTTATGATTGAACCGTTTTTGCAGCATTCTAATGAATGAATATCAGAAAATTTCTCCTTTTTGTCCTTGTGGTTGTAATACTGATATTTTTAGGCCTGACCTTTGACCCCAATTTCACAAAAATGTGACCACTCTGAAATTTTACGACCAAACTTTTCTTTTTGTACACGTTTTCCTCTTTCCATCGATATATAATTTAGGTGTGTGTTCTTCCGGAACATTAAAGTTTTAAAAAATTAACTCTGGTTGCAGTACTATAATTATCCATTCTGTAAACCCAATCCAGAAAATCGTCTCTGCTTAATATTCGGTCAACAGAAAGTGTTCAAAAGGAAGTCTTTCCGGAATAGGAGTTAAACAGTATGTTCGTTACGACACATTTGTACAAGCGCGGTGACAAATGTTATTTTCAAACGTAATTGTGACAAATTCATTTCTGACAGAAATGTTAGATCTGATAACATTTGAAGATTAGAGTTGGCTTTAATCTTATTAGTTGATTTATGTTTCAGAATACCATGAGGTCAGCTTTATTAGAAGAGGAAGTCGTAAAGCCCGGAGGAACTGCGGACTTTTGACAGAAATCTTGACGAGATTTATTACACATAATGTTGCAAGTCGAACGCATCTTTATGTGATTCATAAAGCTGGGTTCGAAATCGTATTGAAGAGACGATATGTTACAGTGATCTGTGAAGAGTAACTTATATATAAGCTCACCAGACAACTCGGTCATTCAAAGTTAAATCAAATAAAAATCGCTGTTACTTAACGGTTGATGTTTTGATAGCAAGCCGGTTTTTTTTTAAAACAAGTGCTACCCATAGTACGTATCCGACCCAAAAAGGTTGACCGATGAAATAAAATAAAATTTCCTTTCTGTGCCGTGTTTAAAGTTATCAAGTTGGTTGATGCATACCACATCGAAATAATCGCAAAGACAACTTTAGTCACGGTTCTGTTGTTCGAGTAATTTTAAGGCAATATTAAATAATAAAGGGATTGGGACAGACAAAAATACTGACAGAAACCAACAATAACGTTCAAGTATGGTTAAGGTTGCACTTTGTAAATACAGCTGTTTCACAAACCACGCCTCTTTTGGGGAGATATATATATTATATAATATTCATAGATATTTTGTTTTGTTTACGCACTGGTTATTAGATATGATCTCCGTTTCATCTCATACAGACATAACTTGGGAATGTTACCAGTATAAATACACATGGATAGCGGCGAAATTGAATTCTGGCAGGGGTAATACATAATTTTAGTATAAGTTTAAACTCTTAGAAGTTCGGGGCATATAAATGTTGAAAATATGCCGCACAGCCCTATATTTTGAACTTTGAAAAAATTGTAGCACATATGAACTTTCAATTCTAGGATATAATTTTTTACGAAACTTCATAGTAAAAGTGGCATAGTTTTAGCCGTAAAAGGAGTTCCTATGGGAAATTGCATTGTCTATATTTACAGAAATGCAACCTTAAGAGGAAAGAACCTTAAATACAGATACCTTTATAATATTTATATCGTTTGGTTGCCGTCTCATTGACATATAAACCCCATAAAAGTTACGAAAATGCATTGGTAAACAGTTTGTCTAATAATGAGACTGTTGTAGGATTTGTTATTTACGTCGAAAGTTTTGAACCACTCTAATCAACTAAAATTTAGATTACTATCTTTTTTGTCTTTATGTGTAACTTGCAATTGGATTAGATAATTGAAGTGCACCCTTGATCTATAAATATTATAAATGTCATACGCCCTAGACAATTGACATTTCCCAATTCGCTATTATGATGATTGTGTGATGTTTTACTTTGAAATATTTTAACATACCAGTAACAGAACGGAAGTAACAAATTAGGTTTGAACTGCTACATGTATTCCTTAGTGAATACACGATTTCACTCTTAACGTTTGAGCGTGTTAGTGTTAATCGGTCTTGGTTCCATTTTTGTCAATTTTTTGGTAATGGTGTTGTCCTTTGTTACCATGGTTTTTATAAGTGCTTAAGCCCCCCCCCCCCCCCCCAAAAAAAAAAAAAACACACCAAAAAAATACCTTTAATATCATCAAAATGTTTGTATATGCAGATATGCAGTCTACTAAAAAAACATTTTCGGCACCATATTTATATATTTATTTATGGATAAAGGTTTACACAAATCGAATATAAAAATAACAACTTGCATAGCCTGAACAGTTTAATTATTCATGGCGAGACAACTTTACTGCTCACTTTTTGTCGAAGACGTTTTTGTTCATCTCTGACACAGGAATACACGGCTATTAAGAGCGATAACAAGGCAAGTATTGAAATGCCAACAATTTCCATCGAGACAAAGTTGAGGCGGGAATCTAATTTAAGGTCACGAAGCTGTCGTTCAGATTGATCCATGCGGTCCTCGGTACGTTCTCCAAGGTTTTGTAATTGGTAAGATGATGTCCATACATTGAATTCGGGTCCGTTCTCTGTAAATGAAATAAGAAGACTTATGTTAAAAGAATTGTTTCATGAGATTAAACGGGACACACTTTTCAATATCAGAATATTACCTAATAAAACGAACCTTGACAATCAAGAAGTAAGGAACATGATGGTATTTGCATATAGTTCAATACATGTATCATGGCTGTACGTGTTTTGCAGTACAGTCGAGAGAGTTGCGTCCCTTTGTATAATGATGTAATTTGTCATGTGATGTTAATAGCAAAATAACAAAAATACCGAACTTCAAGGAAAATTCAAAACGGAGAGTCCCTTAACAAATGGCAAAATTAAAAGCTCAAACACATCAAACGAATGGAAAACAACTGTCATATTCCTGACTTGGTACAGGCATTTCCTTATTTAGAAAATTGGTGGATTAAACCTGGATTTATAGCTAGCTAAACCTCTCACTTGTATGACAGTCTCATAATATTCCATGATAATCGGTCTTTTTTTGAATAAGCGAGTCTTGGCAGTAGATGTTTTTGTTGCTCTCAAACAAATACTAAGTTAAACCTAAACGTCATGAGGAGGCATTTTTATCTCCCCATGCTCGTTAGAAAATGAATATATTTCGTTTTCTTTATAATATCATCACTTTAATAAATTTCGAATTCGAACATTGCTATATCCATTGTAAGATGTAATTGTCCTTTTTAAGGCGTGAACCTCGAACAATACCCGTTGTGGAAGTAGCCGGACTACGGTTTCCTAATAACAGAGATGCGTGTACGTATCAAATACGGACACCCCTTACTGAGCTTTGTTACAAGTGGAACTCCTTGAGTGGCCATGGTATGCCCTCCCCCCCACCCCACCCCCCACACACACATTTCAAAATCCTTCGTATATTTCATGTACTTTTTAATTTCCTTGATATCTAGTTTTGCAATAGTAGAGCATGTTCGTATATTATGTCCTATTATATCCCATTCCTATTATATCCAGACTTATGCTCAATAGACTATTTTCATATTGCCACCTCTGGAGTAGAATATTTTAACAGGTTACCTACATTGTGGTAGGACATTCTGGTTCTCGGTCAAATGAAAGCAACTAAAAGAAGAAAAGAAAGTTTATAATAGGTGCAATTCCCGGGAAAATTCGCTTTTCCCTAATGATTTTGTTGTGTATAGAAAACATTCAAAAGTTATTTGTACTCCGGGGTCAAATGTCGGTGATATGAAAATAGTCTATTGAGAAAAGAATATTTGAAGCTTTTGCATTGAATTCGCTTTGCAGAACATTATAGTATGGCATACAAAGGACGAGTTTCTCGTATTGTTGTAGATAGTTTAAATCTCAACCCTCATTTTAAACTAGTTTTGAGATCTAAGTATTCCCACTATTTGAAAATAATTTAATTTTGGATGTAACACGTCTTCTGATTGGCTGAAAGTGTTTTGTCTATCAGCTCAGACATTATTTTGTCATGTGACCGTGACGTCATCAACGTTTTTATCATGATTTACTCCTTTTTAGAATTAAATTGTAAGGAATGACTAATATTTTTTCTGTCTATTCGAAATAACATAAAAAATGTGGTGCACACTTTTAAAAAACCCGCCACGCGGGTTATTCAGTGTGCACCACATTTTTGATGTTATTTCTTCTAAGACAAAAAAAATATTACAGTCATTCCTTATATAAATTACTTGCCTGAAGGCTCTGATGATCTCTTACTTCTCAATGAACAAGATGACTGAAATAAAGATAAAAATAATTTTAAATTTTAAGCTGCCGTCTTTAATTTTCCTGATCGGTAATTATAGTCGAGTAAAACATTTACAGTTAGGTCAATTTTCCGAATAGGCCGTAGCGCCTGTTAAAACGTTTAAACCCGCTGCATTTTTATGCACCGGTCCTAAGTCAGGAGCATGTTGTTCAGTGGTTATCGTTTGTTGGTGTGGTTCATAAGTGTTTTTCGTTTCTCGTTATTTATATAGATTAGACTGTTGTTTTTCCTGTTTGAATTGTTTTACACTAGTCATTTTGGGGCCCTTTATAGCTTGCTGTTCGGTGTGAGCCAAAGCTCCGTGTTGAAGGCCGTACTTTGACCTATAATTGTTTACTTTTTACACATTGTGACTTGGATGGATAGTTGTCTCATTGGCACTCATACCACATCTTCTTATCTATACTTAGAGTGAATATACTGAAACTTCTAGGTTATGAAATTGAACATTTTGCTTTGGATGTAGTCAGTTCTGGTTTAGGAATTTTTGTCAGATGTTCGTACTCCTTGGGTTCTTTACTACGATACAGAGTAAAATATTTGGCCCCATATTACCTACTGTGACTTTTCTTTTCACGGAAGACTTCAATAGCTCAAAAAGGTCATTACCAAAATTATAGCAGATTCTAGATTTCTTTTCTTACAATTTGAGACCCAAGTAATACCATTGTTAATATAAGCTAAAAGTCCTTTTCCCACTATTTTTTTTTAAATTTCACCTGATTACATCCTTGAAGGAATTGATTGGTTGTTTCTATTTTAACGTCCAGTGCCAACTGTTTCATACAAAATCACTGAACTTTATCATATCTGTTACTGTATTCATCTTTGACCTATGATAGTTTACTTTTTTAAATTGTGACTTGGATGGAGAGTTGTCTCATTGGCACTCATACCACATCTTTTTATATCTATTGTTATTTATTTATATGCCATCAACACGGACTAAATGTGCATTTGAAATCAAGTTACATATGCTGTGTGTCAATAAAATCGCTACATATCATGTTCCTAGATTACAATGGTCTCATGTTCCTAGACTACTGTGGCCTCATGTCCCTAGACTACTGTGGTCTCATGTTCCTAGACTACTGTTGTCTCATGTCCCTAGATTACTGTGGTCTCATGTTCCTAGACTACTGTGGTATCATGTCCCTAGATTACTGTGGTCTCATGTTCCTAGACTACTGTGGTATCATGTCCCTAGACTACTGTGGTCTCATGTTCCTAGACTACTGTTGTCTCATGTCCCTAGATTACTGTGGTCTCATGTTCCTAGACTACTGTGGTATCATGTCCCTAGATTACTGTGGTCTCATGTTCCTAGACTACTATGGTCTCATTTTTCCTAGACTACTGTTGTCTCGTGTCCCTAGATTACTGTGGTCTCATGTTCCTAGACTACTGTGGTCTCATGTCCCTAAACTACTGTGGTCTCATGTTCCTAGACTACTGTGGCCTCATGTCCCTAGACTACTGTGGTCTCATGTTCCTAGACTACTGTTGTCTCATGTCCCTAGATTACTGTGGTCTCATGTTCCTAGACTACTGTGGTATCATGTCCCTAGACTACTATGGTCTCATTTTTCCTAGACTACTGTTGTCTCGTGTCCCTAGATTACTGTGGTCTCATGTTCCTAGACTACTGTGGTCTCATGTCCCTAGACTACTGTGGTCTCATGTTCCTAGACTACTGTTGTCTCATGTCCCTAGATTACTGTGGTCTCATGTCCCTAGACTACTGTGGTCTTATGTTCCTAGACTACTGTGTTCTCATGTCCCTAGACTACTGTGGTCTCATGTTCCTAGACTACTGTGTTCTCATGTCCCTAGACTACTGTGGTCTCATGTTCCTAGACTACTGTGGTCTTATGTTCCTAGACTACTGTTGTCTCATGTTCCTTGACTACTGTGGTCTCATGTCCCTAGACTACCGTGGTCTCATGTTCCTAGACTACTGTGATTGCTTTTGTTTTTGAATGAATAAAATGAAGATCTTTCGATGCATTCCTTAAACGTTTGACAACATGGTATTAATAAGAGTTTGGTCTCGCTTTGATTTTTGTTTCAGTCTAGAAACTTATGTGTAATCTCATAGGGGTCAAAATCAAATGTTACAAATTTTCATCTGTATGCGATTAATATGGACAAAAGGCAATATGTATGCGATTAATAGGGTCAAAAGGCAATATGTATGGATTAATATGGACAAAAGGCAATCTGTATTAGATTAATATGGACAAAAGGCAATCTGTATGTGATTAATATGGACAAAAGGTAATCCGTATGTGATTAATATGGACAAAAGTCAATCTGTATGTGATTAATATGGACAAAAGGCAATATATATGTGATTAATATGGACAAAAGACAATCTGTATGTGATTAATATGGACAAAAGGCAATCTGTATGCAATTAATAAGGTAATATGTATGTGATTAATATGGACAAAAGGCAATCTGTATGTGATTAATATGGACAAAAGGCAATCTGTATGTGATACATTTTGACAAAAGGCAATCTGTATGTGATTGATATGGATGAAAGGCAATCTGTAATACATGTGATTAATATGGACAAAAGGCAATCTGTATGTGATTAATATGGACATAAGGCAATCTGTATGTGATTAATATGGACAAAAGGCAATCTGTATGTGATACATTTTGACAAAAGGCAATCTGTATGCGATTAATATTGACAAAAGGCAAAGGAAGCGTGTTTTTCTTAATATATTTTTATTACCTTGCTATGCATTCAGTATATTTGAAATTTGCCACTAAAAGTGTAAAATTCATTTGTTAGGAGTCTGAAGATCTGAAAACGACTGGAAAAGTCCAGTCAGTAAACTTGACTCTATTCTTTAATTTATTAGGTATTGTTAATTCAGAAATTATTGCATGCATCTATTATTGTGATTTTTCAAGAATGGACAAAAATTCGAGTTTAATTATTGCGATTTCGAAAAGATTTGCATACAGATCTATGTTTCAGTTATTAGAATGCAAGTTCTTATTATTGCGATACTCACCCAGTCGCGTGTTTCGCATTAATAAAAACCTTGCAATAATTTCTGAATTTAAAGTAATTTTTCTTTATTTTTTTTTTTTGCCCATTTTTCTGTGGTATTGACAAATTGTTCTCTATTCTTTAAACCCCATCCAGACCCTCACTACAAGTCATGCTAAGTAAATAATTAATCACGGTATTAATTAATGACATGAACCACATGATTTGGTTCAGCAAACCAAACATACGTTTTGGTGTAGGGTACTGGATTATACAATTTTAAGTTTTTATTTAGGGTACCAGATTATAAAATGTGTTTGATGCAGGGTGTACCAGATAATACAATCTAAGTAGGTTTGATGAATGGTACAAGTTTTCGGTGTGTCCACTGCTGATTAAGATGTTCGTCCATCTTGAACAAGTATGACGTGGCAAAGTACAATATTTTTACTTCAGTGTAAAATTCTACTAACCCCATCGCACGTGTTATTACAAACTACAAAAGAACATTCGTATGAAATGCCTATATCTGATCCATCTTCCATCAATCGAAAAACCTTAAAAAACGGACTTGTTGACATTTGTCCCTTTGTGGTAAATCCTACAGATTTGGGAAATATAACACCTTCGCCACATCTGAAACATAAAAAGGTTGTGCACAACTTGCATAATACATGTAGGTCATACTTATAATAAAAAAAAGTTCTCGTCCGATGTCTAATCATTTTGATGTAAAAAATGAATTCACTTTGTAAAAATGGTTAATAGAAAAAAAAAATTTTACTCAACTCACGCCATTTTTTCAAATAAGTTGTATTAGAATTATTTTTTTAATGGATCACATTGTTGCAACTGCAGTAGAACTCGAGATTATATGTAATACATGTATACTACAGTTTTTATTTTGTTAAAAGTAATGCAAGGATCTTGACAAAAATGAAGTTCCGCACAAGAATTATACAAAATACTTCAGACTTGCAGTTTTACAAATAACGAAGATCTGGATTGAGAGAGAAATCTAAAATCAGAAATATGCGTTAGGTCTTTTAAAAAATTCTTCCGAAGAAGTATAAAAATAATCTCTTACCGAGGAGCTTAGAATATATACATCTAAATTGTTTAACAAGCATACCAGTATTTTGTCAAGACGCATGTCTCGTAACCTTTGTTTTCATACTTAACCTTTCAAAGTTCATTTTCCATTCTATAAGACTTATATTAACTGTACGACTATCTTTTCATATGTTAACTCTCTTCCAGATTTAGTATTATACTTTGCACTTTTAACATTTATTTATTTAGGAAGCCTCGGTGGCCGAGTGGTCTAAGTAGTTTATATATGTGTGTTGAAGACCATCAATCAATTAATCCTAAACCATTCCCCTTTTCAGTTTCAAACTTACCTTTTCTCTCTTATTCTTGATTGTGCAATTATCGTTTCATATGTTCACTTTATTCAAGGTTTAATTAGTTTAAACCTTTTTTTTTATTTCCTCAAGATTTGATTATCATTAAATTACACTATTTGATTCTAAATTTATTTTCGAAACATACCCTGCTTGGAGAATTGAATATATCGTATTTCCATCTTTGCTCTTAGCGTTACAGTTGTATGGTATTACGCCTGAATATTCGGCTGTAAAATAATAAGGTATATACTGCAAGTATGCTACACTTGATACTACACTTTAAAATAATTGAATGTTTCTTTTAGGGAGTGTAAAAGAAGCGACTGACGCACGGACTGTTTAAAGCACGGATTCGCTTCATTCTTAAAATGTGTAAACGACCAACGCTTTTGCAACCCTATAGAATAAAAAAAAAAGAAAGATTAATTTTTTATAATTACATTATCATGATTACGAAATTAAAGAGTTATATATCAAGCTTTTCGTTTGTTTTTCGATGCATTGTTTAAACATTGTCACGGATAGCATGTGTAGTCATATAGCTGTTGTATGTTATACGGAAATAAAATATGATATTGGAGAGTAACGCGACTGTTTGCCAGCCAATCAAATTTACGGATTCCAATGAATATAAAAAAGAAGATGTGGTATGATTGCCAATGAGACAACTCTCCAAAAGAGACCAAATGACACAGAAAATAACAACTATAGGTCACCGTACGGCCTTCAACAACGAGCAAAGCCCATACCGCACAGTCAGCTATAAAAGGCCCCGAAATGACAATGTAAAGCAATTCAAACGAGAAAACTAACGGCCTAATTATGTACAAAAAAATGAACGAAAAAGAAATATGTAACACATTTATACAAACGACAACGCATACATGTGATGTAATTATTTGAATATGACTTGTTACTTTCGCTTTGTAGACACCAAACGTACTTAATGGTAATATCACCAACTTCAGACTTATTGGTCATACTTGAGGGTCTTGATGTGGGTCCTTTATTTTTGTATTATTGTTTATTCTGTAAACCTCATCTAGACCATACATTTTTTCGACAGTAATCTCTAATCGTCAAAATTTTCGATTACATGTAAACCCTATAATTATAACTGACCTCAACGATATAGCCAATAATACTAAAAAAGACGTAAAACCCCAAAAATAAATCTATTAATCGTTGTAGCTCGTAATTGTATCTACGAAAAGATTTTAAAAAAAAATTGGGAATGTGTCCATGGGACACAGATAATGCTCCGGCTTGCATATAACGTTACAAAGAGGCATGATAACTCGAGAACAGAAAAAGTGACCCTAGTACCCCAATTCGATCTTGATGTGAGTTTTGTGATAATAAGCATTGTGTGTAGTTTTTATAACATTTGGTTGAGGCAACCTAAAGTTAGAGAACGGAAACGAAAAATTCAGCATTGTTTGCCATATATAAAAGGGGCATAACTCTAAAATGGTAAGTGATGACACCCAAATTCGAACTTGATCTGTGTTTTGTGGTAGTAATATATATAAGCATTGTGTATAAATTTCAAAACATTTGGTTGAGGCAAACTAAAGTTAGAGAATGAAAACCATTTTTTGGACGTACGTACGGACGGACGGAAGTACGGACGCACAAGGGTAACACTTAATGCCCCCTCCAGTGACGACTGGGGCATAAAATGTTAAATATTTATACTTACAACTGGTGGTTTCTATTCTTAAATGAACTTTCTTTTCCATTGGTAAAGCACCTGTGATCTCATTGCCTAAAACGTCTATCAATTTTAATGAAGAGCCTTCTGCATAGTTACCGCCCAAATTTCCTACGAGGTTACCAGTTAAAGGGACGAAACTAAAAAACAGTGAGAAATTGCTACTATACTAATGTATTACATCTCGTTAAAACATTTAAAAAAATCAATATTTGATTTCAGATTGGAATTAAATTAGGTCTTTCCACTTTTCCGTTGAAAGACCTTTTCCTTTAAAAAAAATTGTTCTGATTATTTTCTTCCGGCTAATTTATTTTCTTGCGCTGTATTATTGTTTCTAAAGATGTCGCTTATATTTTTGGTACTAGTATACACAACTACTTTAGTACAAGCAATCTTGGTGTACCTTTCTAAGGATGCATATAAACTGTACCATTACCTAAGATGTAGTATACAAAATGTACATCTGTAAAGCTGTATATAAACTGCACATCTGTTACAATGCATATTAACTGTACATTTGTAAAGCTGTATATAAACTGTACATTTGTAAAGCTGTATCAAAATATATCGTTTCGGGTGGAAAGACCTTCAATTGTTTTCTGAACAATTGGTTTTTAATTATATTGTAATTTGTTTAATTTAGAATTGAAATCAAATGACAAAAACTGCTATTGATTTCCATGTTTTACTATGGTCAAAAGGGGATTAGTTTTCAACCACACATTAATTTAATCGTCCTGAATATGCATGAAATATTTGCCATTGGACGTTAAGCAACCAACAATCAATCAATCAATCACATTAATTTAAGAATCAAAAAATTAATTTGACTTTTTATTACCGTAAGCATGCAACACCTATGTCAGCACGTGTTATCCGTAACAACGGTAAAACAATGCATAAAAAAATAATTGAAATTCTTTGGTTGTAGCATAAAAATGTATTTGCTTTTTGTAATGTTGTAGGGTGGTAAAAGCATTGAACGTGCACACAATTTTAAAATGAAGATTATGTGCTTCATATATTTAAATTGTGCTTCGTTGAACGCTTACACACCAATAAAACTATTAAAAAAAGAAGCATTCAATTATTTAACAAAATATTTGAAACATTAAATGAACAAATGAAATGTAAAAAAGTTAATAGACATTATATGAGGGTCTGGATGGGGTCTACAGAATACAAAATAATTGGGAAAAATGAATAGAAAAAATGAGCAAAAACAATAAAGAATGGAGTATAAAGGGTTGCAAAAGTGTAAAGAATTATAACTATGGACAATTAAAGAATTAGGTAATATAACACCGATTAAAGAAATGAACGATTTACAGAATAAAGAAATTATATTCAGATAAATTTAATAAAAAAATTGTTTTAACAAAATAATCTTTATTGTTACAGATAATATAAAAAGCCCCAAAAATGTTTAAGAATACACAAATGAAGACCCCCCTTCCCCCGCATCTAGGCCCTGTAATATGTAATATAAACACTAAAACTTACTCATCCTCAACTGCTTTGTTACTCATCGTTTCAGTTTTGTTTCCTTCAGAGATACAGGATATTGTATACGTTTCGTATTCATTCATCAGTGTGCCGTTGTCAAATCCCCAATAGACCTCCAACTCGACTGAGTAGAAATTCGATCCAACGGCGGGTGTCTATAATATGAAACAGGTTCAACTTTAGTATATGTGTTCACACCGGTCCAAAATCCGCGGAGGGATCCAATTCCCGAGAGTAACTAATAAAACATTTGTAACGGTGGATAGGTAAAATCTGGATTCGATTACCACGGAGCATATTTTCTCTGTTAGAAGTAACCAGATTTTACCTACCCACCGTTACAAACTTTTCAGTGGCACGGTACATTCCGGAATTTAGGTTGCTCTTTTGTGTACCCTTCTTAAGTCAATGTATCTGAACAGTGTGATTAGACAAAAAATACAGTATCTACTGAACATACTTTCCCAAACTGAGGGATGAATCAGGTGTAGAAAAATATGAAATTATTTTACATACAGGTGAAAATGAATTTGAGAGTATTTGAGAATTTGTATTCACTGCATGATAAAAGACCTAAAAGCACTAGCGGCCTTATGTTATAAAGATAGCAAAAAGGTAAATGGTCATAATACATATTCAAATCAATTTTTGAATATTATAATGAAAGTACTTCAGTTAACTGTGTATGTAGAATTTTGAGCAGTGTTCGAAAGTGGTGAAAATTCTAAAAAGGCTATCATTATCCATATGGGACAGGAAATATTCCGTGCCACCTTTATTAATTGCTCCTCGGAATTCGGATCCCCCCGCGGTTTCGGATCGGAATACCAGGTGTGCCGGTGTAACAAATTAATTATTTGTTGTAATCTTGTATGTACGTATTTTATTTGACCCTTAATTATGGGTGTCATTTTACAATAAAGATTATTCTATAATAAATATTGATATAAAAATGAGGGTCTAGATGGGGTTTACAGAATAGAATATAATGGGCATAGAGTGCAGAATAAAGGGCAAAAAAAAATTAATAGAGAAAAATAGGCAAAAAATAAAAGAATAGAGAATAATGAAGGGCTAAACATAAAGAAAAGAGAATAATGGGTAAAATATACAAAAAATGGAATAAATAGTATAAGAAAAAAGTGTCCGACTCAACTTACATTGAAGTAGCAATCATCTGCTACTGCGCAAGTGGTAGTATCGTTTGTGTAACACAGCTTGAGAGTGGTTTCAGTATTGGTGTCGTTGATGGGATTAATTTGTACGATTTTGCTATTAGCACAGTGGACCTTAGCTCGGACATGGAGATCAGACTTGATGGTCACGTTTGCTCCAGTTCCAGAATAGTAGCTGCCGTCTGCCGTCTTTTCACCACAAGATTTTGAAACTAAAAAAAACAGCAACGTCACAAACTAAATATAAACAAACAGCAATTGAAAGTCCACTGGCGCAGATTAAACATCCTATTGGAGGTTCAATGGCGCAAATTAAAAATAATATTGAAAGTTCATGGGGGGTTGAGGGAGAAAACATATTTCCCAATTGCCCCCATCTCCTACGTACATGATAACATTCCACAGAAAAGACCTATCTCTTGTAAACATCCCATCAAATAGTCAGTACCCAAGACAAGCCTTCGAACATCAGAACCCTTTCGGAGCATCAGGGTTGACCTTTTTTTTTATTTTTGAGATCCGTCCGTTTTCTTTCTTAGACTTGTGATTTTTAAATAATTGTCACCCCTCTAAGAATATTATTATCTAATCTGTATAATGATCACACTATAAGAACTTTCAATGGTATTTTTAAACGAGACGTAAGAAATTAAATACTAGTACTATTCAACGTACCATCTAGAATGAAGTTTTCTGGGACAGAAGCTCTTCCAACAACCTGTAAATACATGTAGACCAAACTTTAAAAATTAGGCCTTCAGCGGAATATATATGTATATATTATTAATCGAATATTTTTAAGGGTTTGTGATTCGTTAAAACTTGATCACATGTACATTTGTATTTGCTCAGTTTGCACGCCAATACTGTTGTGTTTAGCTTTTCATAGGTCAAAAACAGCATATTGCACAGGGCATACAGCATGTTACTAAAAATAGATTATAGAAATCCCCAATTTTACATTGTTCATGCAATAGTTGTTGATTAATAATATAACAATTGTAGCCTTTGGTTGAGGTCAATACGATGATATATCGACCCAGAGAAACATATCGACCTCGGACTTCGTCCTCAGTCGATATGCTTCTCTTAGGTCGATATTACCTCGTATCGACCTCATACAAAGGCTATAATTGTATAATATCGTGAGTATAGATTATCGAGTTTTCTGCATATTGATATCGTAAAATATTAGTGGCTAGCCACAAAGTGAAACCTTTTTGGTGAGTGGGCGTAGCGAACGAGCTAAAACAAGAATGTGTCCATAGTACACGGATGCCCCACTCGCACTATCATTTTCTATGTTCAGTGGACCGTGAAATTGGCGTAAAAACTCTAATTTGGCATTAAAATTAGAAAGATCATATCATAGGAAACATGTGTACTAAGGTTCAAGTTGATTGAACTTCAACTTCATTAAAAACTACCTTGACCAAAAACTTTAACCTGAAGCGGGACAGACGGACGGACGGACGTACAAACGGACGGACGGACGAACGAACGGACGAACGAACGGACGCACAGACCAGAAAACATAATGCCCCTTCTACTATCGTAGGTGGGGCATAATAAAAACTTCACAATGTACCGAACAGCTAATATTTTACGATATCTATACGCAGAATATCTGATAATCTGTTTATCGTGCTATTTCTGGTATTTCCCCATCCCTTAATACAGTTTTACATTTGACAAAAGTAAGCTTGATAACGTCTCCTCACACAAGTTTTGACGTCGCTGAAAGCTTCTTCTAACGTCTCAAAACCGTATTACGAGTATTACGGATCGACTGAGTAAGGCAAAGGGAACTACGATAAATATGAATATCAAAGACAAGATTAACGCCTTCACCGGAATAAATCGCGCAAGTACAGATTATCAGGTTTCTGCATTTTTCAAAAAAAGAAAAAGAGGTAAAAATCAGATGCGAGCCACAATGTGAAGGCGTTAGCGTTTCGTAGAGTTTGCGAAATAAACGAGTTAAAAAGGCTTTACATTTGGTCTTACTCTTCAACGAACTCAATTACCAAGACAAGATTATGGCCTTCAACAGAACGACTGAATATCTGGATAAGTTTTAGACATATTCAGATTACTATAAGGTACAAAGGTCAAATGTTCAATAGAAAAGCTCATACAACTACATGCATAAGTCAATATGAGTTAGATTTATTTATTTTTCATGTAACTATATTATATACTATAAACCAAGGGCTTTATTACAGTCTAATTGTAGTGTGATTGTGTACACCCACGACATCGCGAGTCCGTGACTGAATTAAAATACGCCTTACTTTTAGCCTGGATTTTTAGTAGTCGTATTGTCAGCTGACAGGCAAATGCTCACATTGAATAAGTATCGATACAGTGTGTTAAATGTTCTCATTTACACCATACCCAATGGTGGTGCTCCTATTAAAGGAGGAAGATACAGAACATACATACAACCGGAAACTACATGTGACATATACTATTGGTATCCGTATCCGTATCGGATTCGACCCGGAACTTGTTAATTATTGGTAATATTAATTATGTGGAAAACAAAAGGACCTGGAATGGTGTAATTTTTAATCAACACCATTGTCCTATATTAGTTATATATAAAGTAGAATTCTTTGATTCGTCGTTTTTACGTCATTCCGGCTAACAAATTGGATATCGTTATTTCAGTAGTATAGATGTATCTATGCTGATCAATGTTCTTTTTCCTTGTACATGTATGCTCAATATGCCCATTGTGGGCCCTTAATTGGTAATAAAATATGTTTTTGATGTTCTTGTTCTAACTTAAAATTTACTTACTATAAGAAATAGACAGGCCAAGAACTTTAAGACGAACATTTTGGAGCCTAAAAAGAAAAGGTATCTAGTAATACGATTCAACCCTAGTTCCTGGTAAACAATGCACAAAATTCTTCCACGGTTTGGAAAACGAATCTCAAAATCTAAAAAGATTTTTTTCTTGTACCGAAACACAAAATGGCCTAGAATCGAAATCTATATAATCCTTGCTCTAGTTATGATATAGATGATGAATTTCATTTCTTCTATTTCCATTTTGAAAGAAACAAGACGCTCTCAAGAGCCTGAATCGCTCACCTTTAATTCTTTGCTTAAGTCTTTCATCAATGATTATTTTTGATTTTAAATATATATTAATGAGTGGCTTAAAAATGCCATTTAAATGTTCTTTGTATCTGTCATATTTTCTTCAAAAGCAAAAAAATGCATTTTATCCCTATGTTCCATTTTAGCCATAGTGGCTATGTTTCTTGACGTACAAGGAAATAAAATACAAAATTTATACTAGATACTTTGAAACTCATTCAGTCCATGTTTGGCTGAAATTGATTCAGCAGTTTCAAAGGAGAAGATTTTTTAAAGTAAGCAAACTAGATGAACAAATTCTGAAAAATTGTCTTTAAAGGACAATAACTCCTTAAGGGGTCAATTGACAATTTTGGTCCTCTAAAAACTTATTTGCAGATCTTACTTTGCTGAACATTTTTGCTGTTAACAGTATATCTTAATCTATAATAATATTCAAGATAATAACCGAAAACTGCAAAATTTCCTTAAAATCATCAATTCAGGCGCAATAACCTAAAATTAGATACCCGATTTGACTGATAATTTCAAGGCAGGTAGACCTTGACTTATATTTTAACTTCGTGTCTGATTTGCTCTAAATGCTTTTGTTTTGAGATATAAGTAAAAAAAACTGCATTTTACCCTATGCTCTTTTTTTAGCCATGGCGGCCATGTTTTCTGAGGAAACAGAAAATAAAACACAAACTTTATTCTAGATAACATAAGAATCATTCAGCTTATGTTTGGTTTTATTTGGTTCGGTAGTTTCAGAGGAGAAGATTTTTTAAAGTTCGAAAACATGATAAACAAATTGTGTAAAATTGTCTTTAAAGGGCAAAAACTCCTTAAGGGGTCGATTAACAATCGTCATTAAACTTATTTGTAGATCTTACTTTGCTGAACATTTTTGCTTTTTACAGTTTATCTTTATCTATAATAATATTCAAGATAATAAGCGAGCTACCATTTGATTTTTATGGGGGGCTAGGATGAAAAATTTTGTCCTGCATTTTTTTTTAGTTGTAATCTCTGTCCTGCCTTTTTATTTTTCACTCTATTCGGTCCTGCCTTTTTTTCTTTAGTTTATCCTGACTTTTTTTACCTAAATTGTCATCCTGACTTTTTTTTTTGCAAGTGTCTCATCCTGCCTTTTCTTTAACTCAAAACTCCTGTCCTGCCTATTTTTTCAAATTTCATCCTAGCCCCCCAATAAAAATCAAATGGTAGCTCCCTAACCAAAAACTGCAAAATTTCCTTAAAATTACCAATTTAACGGCAGCAACCTAAAAATGGGTTGTTAGATTCATCTGAAAATTTCAGAGCTGATAGAACTTGACCTAATGAACATTTTTACCCCCATCAGATTTGCTCTACTATTTTCTACATGTATTTTTAGCCATGGCGGCCATGTTTTTTTGACGAAACAGAAAATAAAACACAAACTTTATTTTTTACCCTAAGGATCATTCAGCTTAAGTTTGGTTGGAATTGGTTAAGTAGTTTTAGATGAGAAGATCTTTGAAATAGTTTACACCGGACGGATGACGATCGACGGACGACGACGGACGCCAAGTAATGGCTAAAGCTCACATTTCCTTTTGGGAAAGGTGAGCTAATAAAAATGGAAGAAGCAGTTACTTTTCTGAAATTGTCTCTCAAAATACTGACTTAATGAGTTTTACTTACAAAAAAGCTACAATATATACTGAATCTTACAAATTTCAATAGGTATAAAACACTGTTAAATGGTAAATGGAGCTGAGGACAATGAGCTCTTACTTTACTGATTGTTAAAAAATCTGTTGTATATATATGTTGTATATCATTTGTATTTTATTTGCCACAAGCTGTACTTTTAAAGCTTTACCAGGTTGCAATTGGCACAAAAAATGTTGCATTGTATATTATATTATCGTTATTGCTGACCCTTTGATTTAAAAAAAAATCTCGTCTCGCACCCGTGGTTTAAGGTTCATCTATACACTTTTACAAAAAAGGCTGTGTTTACACCATGAAATTTTCTCCGAGTACAGACAAAACTGTGTAATTTTAAGTTTTAATGCCTGGCAGCACCTAGATAAATTATTGTTACATCCAATTTATGTTCTAAAAAGTTAAAACACTTTATGGATTTTGATGAACATTTTCTTTCCTTGCCACAGAAGATGGTGAAATAAACAAACACCTGAGTTTTCTTTGATACAGTCCACTCATTTACACTATTTAAATCACCTTTCTTGTGAGTAGATTTCTATTGTCCCTCTATTGTCCATATCAATCAATGATACAATACAATCATTACCTGAGGGGGTCCATCTCAAAGATTTCACATGACTTTGTTCATTTTTACACCACCTGTGGCAAGGAAAGAAAATGTTTAGCAAAATCCACAAAAGTTTTTTTCTTTTTAAAACACAAAATGTATACAACTTGTATATATCTAGGTGCTGCCAGGATTTAAAACTATTAGAATTACACAGTTTTGTCTGCATTCAGAGAATTTTTTTTTAAGTTTATAGGTGAACCTTAAACTAGGCCATATTTGCCAATTACTTCTGGCGAAAATTAATACACTAAATATGGCAGTGTCTCTTGTTCGTTAATCAGTCAGGATTATTCTTTGTCAAAATTATCTCCCCATTACGCCACCTAATTTTTATAATCGTAAAAATTGAAGCCGCTGTAGTGATGAATCGCTGTCAATTTAGCTCTTGAAAACCGATAAATTTATCCACATAGCATCATTACAATCCTTATATATTAGATGAATTTTAAAAGACAAATGTATCTTCTAGCTATTGAGCATCATTTGATGTAATTTTATGCATATGGTCAACTTAAAGTCTGTCGTCAAGTACTTTTAGTAAAACATTGTTATTCGAACACACCTACCTTGTTGTTATGACTCATTAGAAAGGTATTTCACTTGACCCATATATATATCATTTTCTAGTTCTGTAAATTTGTAATGCTATTAAATCAACCTAGAGCTTAAAGATATAAAAATAATAGAATCTTTTCAAGACAGAATAGTTAACTCAAACACGCCTAAACATAAAAAGGTGTACTCGACTTTCTTTTTTTGATTAAATAAATTATTGCGAATTTTTTGGATTTTTTCCCAAAAAACTGTCGCCGGGGGCAGAGATGAAATTAAAAAGGATCATTTTGCTGTTGTAGAAGAGAAAAAAAAAGAAAAAAACTTAGCTTTTTTAACTTAAAAGGTGGAAAATTCATTATACTTAGAACAACTTTTCTAAAAGGGGGTCGTCTTATTTTTAATAATAAAAAAGATTGAAGTCCATGAATATTCCAAAATTCTTGGACATGTTTTGACAATATAATATTACCAGATGTATAGTTCTTTGGGAAAAGTTTTTGCAAATGATATAAATATGTGCCCTCTTGTACTAAGAAGTGTTTTTTACAAAAAAATATTTTTTATCACTTGAAATTTACCCCTCATAAAAGGGATAGTCATTACATTGAGGGGTTATCCCTCATTTGAGTGGTTGTTCCCAACCTGTTAAAATTATAGTTTCATGTTTTTAGTCCAATGCCAAGAAAAAATAAAAAAAATGTTTCTGTACGTGTTGTAGACACCAAATCAGATTAACAGTCAAAATCTTCCAAAACCTAATGGAATTGATTTTTTAAGATTTTTCGATCTAAAATGGTTTCTATGAACAATATACATTTATTGCTATAAAATCAACTAAACTAATTTCTCAAACTATCAAAGGACGCTTTCAGTAAAATATTCACAAATATTACGTGCTACATTTAATGAAAATTGATATCATTACTAATTAACAGCGTGTATTAGTTAAAAATTAACATTAAACATTTAGGTGAAATGAACTTACTTGATTCTTTCCGAGTAGTTTACAACAGGAACGGACCCTTTCTTTGGTATCGTACAACCCGTATCCGAATCTTGAGGTCCACGTGCGGCGGCATAGTAAGAGTACCGTTATTACTTATCATGAGGTTCTGGATTGGGTTAAAAGTAAAGAGAATAATGGTTCAATACTACAGAAAAATGAGTCAAAAAATAAAGAATAGAGAAAACCGGTCAAAAATAAAGATAAGGAAAAAATGGTCCCCCCCAAAAAAAAATGAATGAATAATGGGGTGGTAAAATATGAAGAATATTCCAAACGTATTTATAAGTATCAATGAATTATGATAATAATATATTAGACATATGTCTGTACTCTTTTTGCGAGAAATGTTCTATTTGATTGTCTTGAATATGCATCAAATATTTGCCGCTGGACGTTAAAATGAAACAAATACCATTTATCGGCAATTTTGTCCTAACAATATATAAGAAACAAATACAATTTATCAGCAATTTTGTCCGTAATAATATGTTTTGTTTGAGAATATGAAATAAAATGAATTAGAAAGTAAAGCTTCTTTTACAGGTAGTAAACGTTGTGATAGTTATTCCATTTTAATGAATGAAGTCGCGTGCGTTTCATTGATAAATTGACGTGGATCGACATGAAACAAATACCTGTGCATTCGTATCACCAATAAAGGTACAGCTATATAAAACCAGCGGCTAGCATACAGTATGTAGTTATCTAAACTATGACATTGGGACACACGTAATGGTAAAAGCACCCTCCCTCTTTTTTACTCGAAAGAAACAAATTTCCTGCAGGCATTCGGATCACCAATAAAGCTACTGCTATATAAATCTAATTTTGTATTCTTCTTGCGCAACATTCCCATCTTATACATGTAACACTTCTCTCATATTTTTAAAAATTTCTCGTGTTGACAATAAAGTTTTGTGAAATAAATATACAAAAGTGGCATTTTTGTTTTCGAAACCGACTTTATGAGCAAGAATATGAAGCGAGCCAGTGTAAAAAAAAATAAATTTAATTATTTTTTTAATAGTCAATTTTGTCTTAACAATATATTTTTTGTTTATGAATCTGAAATAAAATGAAATAGAAAGTAAAACTATTTTACGCGTAGAAAACTTTGTGATATATAGTTGTTCGGTTGTATGGTTACATTGACGTAGATGGACATCAACGCGCGACGTTGCTCCATTGATACGTGACGTCATTGCCTAATATTTTCGAGACTCGGGTCCAGTCCATGATAGTCGGTGGCGGATCCAGGGGGGGGGGGGTCCGGGGGTTGGAACCCCCCTTTTTTTTGACGATCAATGCATTTGAATGGGGACATATAGTTGGACCCCCTCTTTATCCTGGGTTAGGAACCCCCCTTTTATAAATGGCTTGATCCGCCCCTGATAGTATTGACAGGCTAGTGACGCAGTAGATAAACTAATTAGACCATTTGATGCCACTTCTACGAGTTTCCATTGGAATATTCTTTTTTTCTTTATTGCAAAAGTAATAATCACTAGAGAACTATTTTATTTGACAAGATTGTTACAAATTCAACAAATATTAAATTTTGCAGGCCGTTTGTAACTTGACAAAGCATGTACAGTCCCTTGAAATGCGAAAACGAGGCAACATCAGCCAAAAGTTCCCATAAATCTTGTATAGCATTACGTGATAGCATTCTGCCATTGTGTTTGTTAAAACTTTGTTCATTGCTATGTTAATGTAAATATGTATGATTTGTGGAACTAGGGAGGGGGGAGAGAGCAGGGTGCCCGGCCCCTTATGGTGCTACATATATGGTTAATAGATAGACTTTTTACATGCTCTATTACTAACGTTGCCTAGTTTGGGGCTCCTGGTGGTCCCCTTTTAAAATTCAGGTTCTACATCTGATAATTAGCAAATAAAGTGTTTTAAATCAGTTATTCAACTCAGTGTATATTTCTTCGACTCCGATATTCTTTTAGGTTCAGCGTTAAAATCCCTCCCCCCCCCCCCCGAATAATTATATCCAACCAATGTCATTAGTTGAAAAAAAAATCCGGGAAGTGCAATACAGCTGTAGCTCTAAACAATGTGTATGAATTATAAGTCTAGCCAGAGTCTTCTGCACTATGCGGAAACTAGTAAAAATATTACGTACAAACTTATTTTTATTTTTATATTTTTTTTTTTTTAACTGCCTCGGTTGTCTCAATGGAAGCTGAGCACGTGATTGGTGGAATCATTGAAAAATAACAATCAGCGATCTCCTCTCATGATAAATATATCGAACGGTTATCTTACTTTCGCGCCACACGTGGACCTCAAGATCCGGTTACTGGTTGTACTATAAAACACGAGGGTTGCCTGTTGTAAACCACACTAATCGGAAGGAGCTGGACAGTACCAGACATCACGTAAGTACATTTCATCTGTCCATTTTTAATGTAAATTTCGAACTTATACACCCTGCTGGTAATGCCATCAATTTTCATTTGTAATATTTGTGAATATTTTACAAAAAGGGTGCTTTTCCTATTTGAAAAATCAGTGTAATAGGGTTTATAGAAATTGCAAGATAAATTTATGATTGGGTACATGTCTATTTTAGATTATCAAATCTTCGAAATTCGATTTTATAAGATTTTGGAAGATGTTTACTATACCGGATTTAGTGTTGGCAACACGTGCAGAAATATGCTTTAATTTATTCAATTCAGCATATATCTAATAATCTTCCATTTGATTTTGATTTTAATCAAGTTATTCCTCGGTACTATGATTTTATTTCGCGTTTATGAAATGCCACGGGAAGTTATTCGATTACAATGTGAAGTTTTAGATCTCGGTTAACCTAAAATTGTATGAATTTCAAGATTTGTGTTTCGAAGTGTATCTGTTGTTTAATCTAAAATGCAATATGAGTGAATATTGTACAATAATGGGCATTTTTTACCGTACTTCAAGAAACCAGATTATTAAACTGCTTTTAGGGAGCTACCATTTGATTTTTATGGGGGCTAGGATGAAATTTGAAAAAATAGGCAGGACAGGATTTTTAAGTAAAAAAAAGGCAGGATGGGATACTTGCAAAAAAAAAGTCAGGATGACAATTTAGGTAAAAAAAAGTCAGGATAAATTTTAAAAAAAAAGGCAGGACCGAATAGAGTGAAAAATAAAAAGGCAGGACAGAGATTACAACTAAAAAAAATGCAGGACAAAATTTTTCATCCTAGCCCCCCCCCATAAAAATCAAATGGTAGCTCCCTTATGGCGTTCTGGTATATGTAACGAGTCGTTTTCTGTCCACACTGAAGTCATGGCGGAAAGATGTATTAGAAAATGGCCATATCTCATGACTATTTTTTCAATAAAGCAAACTATCATCCTAAAAGCATAGAATAGAAATGCGAAGTCGTATGCTATAGGGCTAAACTTCGGTGGCATTCTCTTATTTCAAAATGATTAGAAAGCTACCAAAAGAAAATAATATACTGAGTTAATGTTAAGCAACACATGTTTTCATTACAAGAACTTTTAAAGAAAAATTTCTCCTAGGATAAATCCATCACTCATTCATTACTTTACTTGCAGTAAAATTTATCTACTAAATAGATGAAATAACGTGTATCAACTCGTAGACCTGCATGTGATGTTGTATTTATTCAATATCAAGAACTTATTTTTAATCTTAGCGGAATCCTTGCGCATTGTTTATATATATACATATGAAATGTACCATATATTTTTGCACTGGTGTACTTGTTTGGCCAAAATTTGATAAAAGTGCATACTGTTACAAAGATCGGAAATAAAGTTTATTTCATTTAATTTTTTTAAAACAAAGTCGATTTCAACACTGTATGCAGGGCTTATAATCGTTTAAAATTCAACGTACTCCCTCTATAATGTACAAGATGACCATTGTAAGGGTCTGGATGGGGTTTGCAGAATAAAAAATAATGGGCATACAAATAAAAAATTTTAGGCCTGTTTTTTTTATTCTGAACCATTAATTAACCTGGTTTTAAACATTTTTATGGTTAACAGTTTTTTTATGGGTCGGTCTTAACCATGCGATTAAATGGTTAAAGAACATTTCAACCGGGATTAAAAGCATGTATTAGATATTTTCAAAATGGTTTATAGCTTAAACATTTTTCCTTAACCGTTGCACTTTTTTTTCTCCCTTTAAACATGTTTATTGTTTAAGCTTAAACATGTCTCAGGTTGTTTTTAACCAGTAACTAGTTTGAGTATAAAAACAGGCCTATAGACAAAATGACCAAAATTGGGCAATAAGTACAAAATGTATAAGAAATCCGCTGAAACCTAAATGAGTACAACATGCCACCAAATCCAGACCCTCGTGTTTTTAATTTCTGCGATTTGTCTTATCTTTTGTTCTTTCAATTTTCATGGCGTTAGGTTTCCAGATTTTGAACATAACATTTAATTTTCAATCTGTGTCCGACCACAAAGAAATCACGTTGCTGGCAAAAAATACCCATAATTCAACATTTTCGCATTCAAATGTGTCTATACAAAGGCTATATGACTGTATAAGAATATAAACTTGTGGGGAAATGGACCATAAACTCCCCTTGTCATTCCCTCTCCTGTGTGTATTGTTTACCAGGAACTTACTTAAATTGTATATTACTATATGACTTGAATATGCCTCAACATTTCTATATGTTAAATATATATACATATCTGGGGTTTTGCTTTTTCTTTTGTGTTTATTTTTTCTCTATTCTTTATTTTGTCATTATATATCATTACGAATTAATAATAATCATTGTAATAAATTGTTTGTAATTATACTGCTCTCTTAGGGCGTCCTTGATTGACAATAAAAATATTGTATTGTATTGTATTGTATTGACTTGTTTCTTTTTTAGTCTTAACAATGTTCATCTTACAGTTCTTGACCTGTCTACTGCTAGCAGTAAGTTAATTTTGTTATACATATTGCATGTATGTGTGTATGAACTTTGTCTATTTTAGATTTTAACTTATCTTATCTCTACATGCCTTCATCAATTTACATGATCATGAATTAGATTTCAAAACCATATTCGTATCAATGTTGACCATACGGAACTAAAACCGCAAAGAGAATAGTATCTATATTAAAACAAAAACAAGGCAACTAACTCTAAGCCATTTTGTTTTAAAATTTCATTAACATGACCGGGAATTTTATTAAAATATGCATGGTAGTCGACTTTTCTCGGAACTTTTACCCAACTTCCTAGCAAATAAATCGAAGTTTAAAACAAAATCAAGAGTTTTATTAGCCATTGAAAAGTTGTCGGGAAATGATTCTCTCTTGATTTTTTATACATGATTCTCTCTTGATTTTTCATACATTTAACATTGGTACATTTTTCTTTCAAAAGCTATGAAAAAATAAAGATTTTATTGTAATATTGATTGTTTTCATAATGGTCCTGTTATATGTCCAAAGGTCTGTAATAATGGCCGAGGATGTCTGTAATGGTACGAGGCAACGCCGAGGGACATAACAACCTCCGAGGAGTTATAACAGGACCATTATGAAAACACCCATTTCTTGATAAATTTTTATTAACCAACTAAACAGAGGAAATATTTCTAATATAAAATTTGTAATTTGTTTTATTGTGTTGAAAAGTGCCTTTTATGTTAAATGTGTGTGTTCTGTGACTAGAACTTATTTAGAGCTATTGCGATTTTCTGATCGCCGGGGAAGCAATTGTGTACGTGAATGTGGCGGTCAGGATTAACGCAAAACGAAGATGTATTTTATCAAAAAAATATATACAAAAAAACAATCTAGAACAAAGGGGGTAAGAGATAACTTTGAAAGGAAAACCTTTAAACCAGAATAACGGAAACTGGCCATTAACAAGCTAATACATGCATTTAAATTTGAACCTCGTGGCTCGGTCAATACAAATAGTCTGTTTACAGACTTGGTCAATTAATACTGTGAGTGTATTTCTAGGTTGCTGCCAGATCTTCTGTACCAGAAGGTTACATTTTGGATGGTAAGTAACATTTATTCACACAAGAATTTAAAGATATAATTTAAATTTGATAATTTGTAACGATGCGCTGGCTGTTTTTGTTAATTTTATGGATAATTAACTTGGTCCTGAAACACTATTATATCAAGGTTTTAAATGCATAAGATGCCATTACATTTGTACGGGGGAGGTAATGACGTTTCTAACGTAAAATGTTATTTTTCGACTGATTTTACTCTTTAGCCTGAAAACAAGTATATGGACCCCTTTTTTTTTAAAACGACATTTGGCTTGATTTTCTATGGCAATTATTTGTACCAATTATTATGAAGAAATCACTGATTTTTTTTTAAATGGATAAATATACAGAAAAAAATGTCGTTTTTTTTCCTAATTTGAACAAATATTAAAAAAAATATTTTCAAAGAATTGTTACTCAAACTTGAGTATACTTGTGTACAGACAATATTCCAAATGTTACAAAATCCGCTTGCGATTATCTTTTGAAACAAAAATGTAAGGTTTGTCTGTTATCTCGATTAAGAAACAGATTGTTGTATATAATCTTGTTTTAATTGCATTTTATCTCCATATAATTCAATTGTATAATAGTGACTTCATTTTAGCTGCAGATTTTAACTTTCTAATTTTCATATTTTCACTTTCTATTTATATTTCATTCGTTGTATTTTATGTTAGTTTCTCAATCGTGTGGCGAGAAGATGACGACCGCTGGTCAACACTATGCTGGAACCGGAGCTAACGTCACCATCAAATCCGATCTATATGTCCAGGCACAGGTCAAGTGTCAAGATGGCCTCGTGCAACTAGATCCAATTGATGAAACCAATACTGAAACCAGCCTCAGGCTGTGTTACTCAAACGATTCAGACTCTAGCTGTCCGTGTAAATTCAATGTAAGTAGACGTGCATAGTTGCATGTTCAAACATCGAACAAATATTTCAAGATGTTATTTTTTTTAACCACTTGTTTACACAAAAAACAATTTGTAATAACTTGCTGTCTTGCCTGTAACAATTACATAGTTCGGGTCTCAGGATAGGTGTCTCGTTGGCAATTATTCCAAATCTTATTTTTATCTTGCTAATAGCAAAGCTGTTATTAGAGGATCTCGATTGGATTTATAGAATGGAAATTGACAAAAAATAGGGAAATATACAAAAAAAAAGAAGAAATTTGGTGGTAAAATATAAAGAATCTGAGGATAAGCGGGAATAAACTAAAGGGAATACAGAAAGAAAAAGTGCGGACATTTGGCTAAAATCGGACAATATCGTTATTGTGAATCTCGAGCTACATTTTGCAACTTTTAGGATCATATACTTCAGTACACTTTAGATTCAGCACTGCATTCTGTTACTACAGACATTGACCATTTACTTTCTTTTTTTATTAGACACCATCAGGCAGGTCAAATTTCTACTCTGCCGTGTTGCAAGTCTTCTGGGGATTTAAGAACGGCACATTGATGAATGAATTTGAAACTTACACAATTTCCTGCATTGCCGAAGGAAACAAAACTAAAGTTTTGGAGAACAAAGATATAGACGAACAGTAAGTGTTTTAAATTTATTTACGTACAAATGTTTATCTTTGAAAAAGCACATTAGTAAACACGTGCATGAACCTGTTACAACGTGCATGAACCTGTTACAATTGGAGCTTTACTGAAGGACAAACTCCCAATTCCTGTCAATAATTTTAATTTTAGAGTAAAACCTGCACGAACCCCGTACAGTTGGGACTTTTGAGTACTCACTTCAATTCAGTAAAGCACCCGATTATTCATGTTTGGTGGTCAGTAGTATTAGTTTTATTCTTAAGGAAATAATTGTTTTCGACTTCAACGCTTTTGATATGACATAATTTGTACTAATTTGATTTGACCTGATGTGTAATATTTTTTCATACCCCACAATGTTCAATGGAAAGTATTGATTTTATTTCACTTCTGAAACTTTTTTTTTCAAAGAATTTAGAATCGTATCAATTTCTCATGTCACTCCCCCCTTTTTCCTCAGAAAAGTTGAATGGTCGGTGCGTACATTATCTTGTAAAATGTAATTAAATGCCCTCAAAATTAAAGCTGTCGAACATACCTCTTGTAATTTTATTCCTTGACATGCGTCTTGCAAGGTCACGATATCTGCCAATTACATGTTTACTCTATGGTAAAGGGGATGAAATCAAAAACCCAAATATCAAATTTGCCTGAAAAGCTGAGCACAAACCGACCAAACCTGGCATGAGTTCTTATTCCCACTCGTCTTTTTATGCCCCACCTACGATAGTAGAGGGGCATTATGTTTTCTGGTCTGTGCGTCGGTTCGTTCGTTCGTTCGTCCGTCCGTCTGTCCCGCTTCAGATTAAAGTTTTTGGTTAAGGCAGTTTTTGATGAAGTTGAAGTCCAATCAATTTGAAACTTAGTACACATGTTTCCTATGATATATTCTTTTTTATTCTAATGCCAAATTAGAGTTTTTACCCCAATTTCACGGTCCACTGAACATTGAAAATGATAGTGTGAGTGGGGCATACGTGTACTATTGACACATTCTTGTTTTTAGCCTTATTCCTGTAAAGAGCGAGGTAATAGAATCTTTCGGCCATGATTATACGGGAACTGCAGTCCTTGAATTATTCGACGTTCTTGGTAACAAGATAACAGCTACTAAAGTTCCGATGTCGAAAAAAGTTCAGTTGAAATTAACTGTCACTACCGGTAAGACTTAACATTACAGTGGAAGTAAACTAAACAATATTCTCCAACAGTTGATGTCATTCAGGGTAGGTATCCTGTGGAAAAATTATTTACTCCGGAGTTAAAAGCCGGTATTATGAATATAGTCTATTGATGACAATTAACACTGAAAATTATGCCTAGTTCACACGTACATTTAATTCGAATTGAATTCGAATCGAATGCGAATCGAATTCGCTAATCGCGTTCACACACTCTTCCTTTTTAATTCGAATTGATTCGAATTGGCTAATTCGCATTAACCAAATCGTATTAGAAACCCGTTTTTGTTGATACGAATTAAAAGTTAACGTCGTTCGGACAGTAAAGCAAATTTGACGCGTATTGCAATTCGAATTAGAATTAACGTTTGGACGTAAAACGATTCTAATGCGAATTAAACTAATTCGAATCAGTTAATGCGAATCGAATTCGAATTACGTGTGAACGCAGCATTAAATGTGTACGATGTTTCCTAATTTTTTTGCAATTCTTGGCCCAAACATATTTTGAACTCATTTTTAAGATCGAGATATGTATGATTATTTGATGTCATAGGTGTAAAACATTTACCTCAAGCCTTACTAAAAATAAATTAATTAAATTGTAAATTAAAATCGCAATACTTGTTAGAACATTCTAAACTTTCTCTTTTATGACTTTACAGATCAATACTATGGCGTTGTTCCATACGATTGCAGGGCAATAAGCAAGGATCGTAATACGGATTACAGATTTCTTCTAGCTGGGTAAGTATTTAAAATCAATTCTAGAAATTCAAAATAAATACAGATTTAGGGAGCTACCATTTCATTTTTATGGGGGGGGGGGGGGGGGGGGCTAGGATGAAAAATTGTGTCCGGCATTTTTTTAGTTGTAATCACTGTCCTGCCTTTTTATTTTTCACTCTATTCGGTCCTGCCTTTTTTTATTAGTTTATCCTGACTTTTTTTAAATAGCCATCCTGGCTTTTTTTTTTTTTGGCCAAGTTGCTCATCCTGCCTTTTTTTTTACTCAAAACTCCTGTCCTGCCTTTTTTCAAATTTCATCCTAGCCCCCCACCTGCCGACCGAGTACGAAATAATTCCAACTCGAAATTGTTCAATTCAAACCATCTATACTCAAATCGACAATATTAAATGTTTGCATTCTCCGCTGTATATTAATGTTGAGGTGACGACAATTCATCCTTTAGAATGCCTCAATTCTGTTGGAATGTATTGTTTTAATTCAAATTTCATAAAAATGATCATAAATGGGATTTTCAAGACTAAAGCTTAAAATACTGTTGAATTTATTTTCTAAATTCAAAAAATCTAAACTTGCTGTAAAGACTCTTTTAGCAGACCTCAGCTGATTCAAATGATCTATATGAACATAAATGATGCCTTATTTACCTGGGTGCCGAATGGTTAACGAGCCTTGTTTACCTGGGTGCCGAATGGTTAACAAGCCTTATTTACCTGGGTGCCGAATGGTTAACGAGCCTTATTTACCTGGGTGCCGAATGGTTAACAAGCCTTATTTACCTGGGTGCCGAATGGTTAAGCATAATTTATCTTGGTGTCGATTGGTTAACAAAAGGAAGTTTCTATAGTTGCTTTACATTAGACAAAAGATATTCAGTACTTACCACCAACTAGTAAAGTATTTTACTCAAGGAATATTGTGCTTTACGATATTTCCCGGTATGGCTTAAATCAATGAATTTCAATCTCATCCCTGGGGGGGGGGGGGTCTCCATTCAGTATTTATTTATTAGATAATTTTTCTCTATTCTGTATATTTGTTGGCCAATACTCTCCATTCTTTATATTACAGCACCCTATTATTTTTTATTCTTTATTTTGTTGATTTATTTTCTCTACTCTTCATTTTTATTGGTTCATTTTTTGTAGATTTTAATCCATTATTCTCTATTCTGTAAACCCCATGCAAACCCTCCATTCCTTGCAGCAAGACAAGATTGCCATGTAATAACATTAATATTCCATTGCAAGAACCGTGAGATGCCAGACGTGACGAATGTCCGGACCTCTACAAACTAAATCGTTTATTGGTCGACAACACCTGAAAAGACTTTTTTCAAATATGCAAAACCAGCACATCCTATGGATACAAATTATTAAAAGCCATTTTAAATTTACTCAACAAGTCTCTTTAATTCTTTCAGATGTGGTGATGGAACAATCATTCCAACAAATAAAGGTTTCACAACAGATGGCAAAATATCAAAAAGTCCATTTTTCAAATTGTTCAAGTTGTTGGAAAGTTCAGAACAAGCTGGTGTATCCTACGAATGTTCATTTACAGTTTGCAACGCCTCTTGTGACGTGGTAAGCAACCACAAACACTTTTCATGAGAACTGCTATGTTATGTGCTCTTATGTGTGACCGTTTCAGTTCTAAGTTAAACCAGGAACATATATATTAGTAATAAGTGATGCCAGTGTATCGAACTTGTAATCTGTCACTTCAAATTTGTCAAAGTCGCATTTATTTCATCACAAGGGTACAGAATGCAAACGGGGTAATGAAAAAATGGCCCCAATGGCATTCCCAGTAACCGCGAATTTCACAAACCATTATAAAACACTTTCACATCAAATTAATCACTTATATTGGTAATTTTATATGACAAAATATATCTACTACTATAAAACTTGTATTTGTTGAACGTTTGGAATTATGTGGTTAATTTATTGAGCTGTTCCGATAGTTTTTTAGTCGGACGCTTCCAAAATCCATAAATCTCGCTAAGTTTCGTAAAGTTCGGGATTTTATCAATTTTATACTGAAAAGCATATCGGATTCATTTCCTGTTAGATATACTGTTCCCAGGTTAAACCTTGGGGTGTCTTACAAGTGTTTGTCACAAAAAAAAAATATCGACATTTAATGCATTTACAACTAAAATTATTGTTAAAGGGACAAATGATTCATATATTAGCTTAAAATAATAAAAAAAAATCATATCGGAAAGTTTTGGTTTTAAATTTACTATAACTTGTGTTACTCTTTTAAATTCAGGATGTTCGCTCCTTGTTTTTGAATTTTTGCCAGATATTCGTAATCCTCTGGTTTTATCCATGTAGTGCCATTACAAAATTTTGCCCACTAACCCCTACTTTTCTTTCCATAATTTGATTGCATATAGTTTAAATGTCATAAATCCTTGTTATTTTTTCATCGTTTTTGAAAGAAAAAGGTGCCAATGTTAAATGTATAAAAAATCTAGAGAATTTTTTCCCGCCAAATTTTCAATGGCTTATATCTCGAAAACAAGCACACAGACCCTTCATTTTTGTATGCCCCATTTATGGGCATTATGTTTTTCGGTCTGTGTGTTCGTTCGTCCGTCCGTCTGTCCCGCTTCTGGTTTTTGTTTTTGGTTAAGGTAGTTTTTGATGAAGTTGAAGTCCAATCAACTTGAAACTTAGTACACATGTTCCCGATGATATGATCTTTCCAATTTTAATGCCAAATTATAGTTTTGACCATAATTTCACGGTCCACTGAACATAGAAAATAATAGTGCGAGTGGGGCATCCGTGTACTATGGACCAATTCTTCGTTATTTTTTATTCCTCGGTGATCATGTCGATAGATTCCAACCACAGAAATGCCTTGATTAAGTTAATGTACTTAAGTTTTAAGGTGGTAGAATACTGTTAAAATTTACGTTACAATGAAGTTCAAAAAGAAATATTAAACGTGCAGCATAAATTGCCAACCATTTGGATTTATATTGTTTTAAGACTGGATATTTGATATTTACGAAAAATGGAATATATAGCAAGCCGTTGTAGAGTTTATTCCCTATTTATTAATATTAAAAATTCATTTGATGTGAATATAGTATAATAAATTTGTTTTTAATATTTTTTAATATTATTCATTTTTTAATATAAAATATTATATTAATAAATATTTTTTAATATTAGAAAATCATTTTTTAATATTAGAAATTCATAATGATTTATTAATATTTATTGATATTAAAAAAATGATAAAATTCCGCAACGGCCTTCCATAATCCTAGATATATCTCTTTTAGTCTTCCTGTTCCGTGAGGACCAAACGATCAGCTGATTCCTTAGGTAAGTGTGGTCATTATTAAATTTTTACACCTAAAAAGGGACGTATAAAATAGTTAAGACCAAATGTCTATAAATCGCACCTGGTTTTCCGATCCGAAATCCGCTGTAGGATCCGAATCCCGGCTAACCCTTACACGAGACATAAACATGGTGTGCAAGTGAAATTTGGTTCCGGTTCCCACGGAACATAATCCTGCGTAAGAATCGGATCCGGATTATACTTACAATTGCTCTAAAGAGTTTTTCCTCGGGATTCGGTTCCCACCGTGGATTTTAGATAGGGACATTCGGTGTGTAAATTTTCTATTTTTCATGCATTTGGGATTCAATGATTACATGGAAATCAAACGCTATCCTTAAAAAAAGTACACCTGCAAAGTTTCTTTAATTTTCAACGAAGAGAAATATTCCAAGAGCAAAGTAATATTGCAAGTTTCAAAACAAATCTTAAAAATTTCGAAAATTTCCTGATATTTTTTGGGAGGCTAGTTTATTTACAACTGGATGATTATCATAACCTAATAAAACAATGTCTCGTATTAAGATAATATTCAAAAGAGTTTGCTAAATCGCACGCGATCTTGCCTAATTAGCATTATAAAATTTGTTTTGTGTCGATCCTGCCTTAAAATATAATTAGAGCTGATTTTCTACAGCTTGTTTTAATCATCATTTTCCAAATCTTTATATTCAAATTTTTCCTTTTGTTTTAATAGCAGATCAGGAGAGAGTGAAAACACCAATATACCAAATTCAACGTCTAGAACAACGCGTGGAAGATCGTCTAGACCAATCACAACAGGAACTAAGCGACCTTAAAATGGATACTCGTCTGAAGCTTGCTACCCTTGAAATCGTCGGCATTGGAGCTGTTGCGTTGTTGTCACTTGTAATTGCCACATATTCCTGCATCAGAGTGGAACAAAAACGCCTCCGTGAAAAAGTGAGCTTAAAGATGTCCTCGGCATGAAGTGCTGGAACGTTTGTTATATTTTGTTCAACACTAATTGTTGCAATCATCCTTCTGAATAAAATATGGTGCATATTTAATTTTATTTATTTCGTTCAAAAGCATTTGAGACGAAACGTACAAAATTCGGAAGAAAAGGATATTTTTTGGTATATATGGAAGAAATAGTACGACCATTTTTAACAATATAAATAAAAGATCAGATGCGTCAATGAAGCGGCAATCCAACGACCTGTCTAAAAAGATTTGTAGAGATTGCACATAGTTTGGTTTTAAGATTCTTTTTATCTTTAAAAATTTGGGAAGTTTGGTATTTTCTTATCCTTGGTAAAACTTAATTCGTGGTGGTTTATTTCATTTTTATAATATCCATATTTAGTGGTCTGCTTTCCTTCACTTCATATTATAGAGCAAAAGAGATGTATATGCTTGTTTTCTGCCTCCCGGCTATCCCTAGCAGACCCTCTAACCCAATTGTTTGGCACGGCATTCGATTAGGGAGCTACCATTTGATTTTTAGGGGGGGGGGGGGGGCTTGGATGAAAAATTGTCCTGCATTTTTATTTAGTTGTAATCTCGGTCCTGCCTTTTTATTTTTCACTTTATTCGGTCCTGCCTTTTTTTAATAGTTTAAACTGATTTTTTATACATAATTTGTCATCCTGCCTTTTTTTTTTTGCTAAGTTGCTCATCCTGCCTTTTTTTTTTTACTTAAAACTTCTGTCTTGCCTTTTTTTCAAATTTCATCCTAGCCCCCTCATAAAAATCAAATGGTAGCTCCCTTACCCGCAAAATGTAACTAAGAAATAATTGTTACTTCCGAGACAAATTGCCGACAGGGACCCGATTTTTATACTGAAATTGCAGGTAACAATAATGTATTTTTTATTGTAACCTGCAGTCATTGTTATTTGCAAAATTTTACGTTTGCAAATGAAGTCTTTTTGTAAGTCGCATCGAAATACTTTTTACTGTCTTCGTGCCATTGTCCTGTAAACGTTGTTTTACATATTTTAATGGAAAATTATTTATTGAACATGGCAATGATAAATTAAAAGCACATTTATACATGTTTATTGACAAAATGAAATTTATAATGTTGAAATAAAGTTAGTTTGCTATAAAAAAAAAAATGCACACAATTTGCATCTTGTGGGAACCCGGCGTTGAAGTTTCATCAAATTCTTGAAATTTACATGACGACGGATACCCGAGATCTCCCCCAGTTTTTGGTTGGGTTCGTGTTGCTCGGTCTAAAGTTTTCTATGTTGTGTTTTGTGCACTGGTGTTTGTCTGTTTGTTTTTCTTTTTTAGTCGTGTCGTTAGATATAGGAAGATGTGGTATGAGTGCCAATGAGACAACTCTCCATCCAAGTTACAATTTATAAAAGTAAACCATTATAGGTCAAGGTACGGCCTTCAACACGGAGCATTGGCTCACACCGAACAGCAAGCTATAAAGGGCCCCAAAAAATTACTAGTGTAAAACCATTCAAACGGAAAAACCAACGGTCTAATCTATATAAAAACGAGAAACTAGAAACACGTATGAACTACATAAACAGACGACAACTACTGTAATCAGATTCCTTGTCGGTTTAATATCGACTTGTGAGTTTGAATGTTCCTTTGGTATCTATTGCCTCTATTGAAAGGATATAAACTTGGGACATCTTGCTTGGTATCTATCGCCTCTCTTGAAAGGATATAAACTTTGACATCTTGCTTGGTATCTATCGCCTCTCTTTAAAGGATATAAACTTTGACATCTTGCTTGGTATCTATCGCCTCTCATGAAAGGATATAAACTTGGACATCTTGCTTGGTATCTATCGCCTCTCTTGAAAGGATATAAACTTGGACATCTTGCTTGGTATCTATCGCCTCACTTGAAAGGATATAAACTTGGACATCTTGCTTGGTATCTATCGCCTCTCTTGAAAGGATAAAAACTTGGACATCTTGCTTGGTATCTATCGCCTCTCTTGAAAGGATATAAACTTGGACATCTTGCTTGGTATCTATCGCCCCTCTTTAAAGGATATAAACTTGGACATCTTGCTTGGTATCTATCGCCTCTCTTTAAAGGATATAAACTTGGACATCTTGCTTGGTATCTATCGCCCCTCTTGAAAGGATATAATCTTGGACATCTTGCTTGGTATCTATCGCCCCTCTTGAAAGGATATAAACTTGTACATCTTGCTTGGTATCTATCGCCTCTCTTTAAAGGATATAAACTTGGACATCTTGCTTGGTATCTATCGCCTCTCTTGAAAGGATTTAAACTTGGACATCTTGCTCATATATATCCAAACATACCAATAGTCTCTTTGAATGCAAATTCCTACAGGTTTACAGCATCATTGCAAAGTGAAATTGTTAATGTTGGTCAGTTTAGCCAAACAAATATATATGTTGGTTTCCTGCTTCAAAGCTGACAGAATAAGCTTGGAAGATAGGAATTTGTTTTTCTTTTTTTAATGGAGAAATGGATAAATTTCACAACTAAAAATACTCAAAACCAATATCAATTGAGCATTACTGAACATTTTACGCAATTGTCCGATTGACATTTTGTATATATTTAATTGAGACAATATAAACAGAACTATAGATGATCGATTCGGACAACTTTGCTGAAAATGCCCACAAAGCAATTATACACTGGCTACGATCACCCTCAAAAAGTAGCAATAAGAAAAAATTGTTACTTCCGAGACTAATTTACAATTGTGTTTCCGTACAGGGATCCGATTTCATACGGAAATTGCCGGTTACAATAGTATTTAATATTGTCACCCGCAAAATATATATTCATAAAAAAAAATTTTTGATTTGCGAACAATCTGTGAAAAAAATTTAAATAGTTATTATATACAACACATTAACCATGATTAAACTTCCAGATGTTTATTGACCAATTTGACGTTCACTTCTTCCATATGGAGGTCGATTTTAACTCACTATTCGTATGTTTGGATATATATAAGCAAGGGCCCGTATGCATAACGCTACTTAAGTTAAGATTTTTCCTAAATTACGGATTTTTTTAAAAATGGTTTAAGATGTTGCTACACGAATAAATTTCAAGAGTACAAACTTCAAATTATTTTTTGTTGGCTGTATACCTCTCTGGAACACGCCAATTATCCGTATATGTATGCAGCTAATTAAGAGAAGTTCCAATGGAATCGATTGATATGCAGTAAAGATTAACACTTTTGAAATTAAGTTACCAAGCAAATTCAAACGGACCTTATCCTGATGTAAACATTGAAATTGAATAGATCAAGAAGACCGCAAATTCATGCACAGAAACCGAGAGAACCTTTTCTTAGAATTGTATAAAACATAGTAAAAATGTTTTAACGGATAACTTTCTTTATAAAAAATATTTAGCTTGAATTTTTTTTGAACCTGCACAGACGTGACTTTTGAATTGTTATATTCACCAGTGTATATAAAGTGCGAATCCAGATAATTCATTTTCACTGTCATGTGCGAGTATTAATATTGTAGAATAAATGATGATATGGGAAAACTGTGTTTGTTTACATTTTGAAAATACAAAATAATCGATTTGAATGTATTTTTTAACACAATTTCAATAGAATATGACTTTACAATGTACAATAGTATGAATAAAGTCCAAAAATATATTATTAAAACAACAGAATCTAGAATAAAGCTATTGAAAGCGATTCATTTTGACATTTGGTGCGATGCATTATCACTGTCAGTGCGACCATTTCTGATGTGGATTTTTTTTTAGGTGCGATGAATTTTCATTGTGGTTTTATGTGATAATTGGACATGCAAAAACTGACAATATTCATTTGATGAATTAAATATTTATTATTAATATTATAATATTTACAATTTAAAAATCCAAACTTATCGTACATGCTTACACCGTACAGTTGATTGCGGACGTTGTGCGTTTTTAAGCGATAAAGATCAAGATAAGAGAAGCCGATATATGATATCAAAAATATTCTTAGGGGTGTACACAGTTTGTATACAAAAATATATTATACACATTGTATGCATGTTAAATCATCAATGTTAATTAAAGAATTCGAATATGAACTCGAACTGTACTTACTGATTGATAAACGCACGTATGTTTACACACCTTGGTCACAAAAACTCGCTTAAAAATGCTTCAAAAATGCAAATATTAAATAACTTTAAATAACAACTGATATATGTGCAGGTTAGTGAGCGTATCTTCCTCCAGAATACACCCCACATACCTAGTTCATTGTAATTATTATCATTTTCTTAAAAAGTCACCAGTTCATGAAATTGTTTATACTGTACCGTTCGTTGCGCGTTTTCATAACAGTACTGTACCCTTCTTATCTAAAAATATCAAGAAGAAAATATGTTGTCTCCTTTGAAATACCCATCTTATATTTTTTGTAACGACTTAACTATATATTTGACATCTCTAACATATCATATTGAAAATTAAAGCACCTGAATTTTGTATATGTTTAATGTGGGACCAAGTGGAGCCCACTCATCGGGAGCACCTGATTGCAATCCAGTTTCTGAGAGATTTCTCAAAAGTAACTCTAAAAATCTAGTATTTTGATCTTGAGGTAAAGGTTACACGAAGAGCATGATGATATGCGACACATCGTCCTGAGTTTGTTATTAGTGTGTCAGGGATTCGAAAATGTTTGGGAGTAGAAAATCCATGAGTGCAGCGTAGTTTTACGGCAAATTGTCAATAAAAAGTTATAGTATTTGATTAAAAAGGCTTTGAAAAGTTGTCAAGCAGTATTATTATGTAATATTCATATTTTTACCATATTGATCGGCTTTGAGTTGTCAAAATGCACAACAAACAGTACAAGGATTTGCAATGAACGGTACTAAATAAAAACACTAAAAAGACAACGAATCATGACGAAATCCGGAGTTTGGTATTTAAACATGTATAAATGAAATGTAACAAAAGGTTTCTCATCCGTTTTGATTATTTTGAATAGACGTGTGTATAAATTACTTGTAAACAACGCGAAACAAAGATTCTGTGTAACACAAACTTGAATTAACTATAAATAAA